TATTTAAAAACCAAAAAAGGGGTTTTACATACATACCACTTTATTTTATGCTATTTACATATCTAACACCCAAAATATTAATATTACATGACTACCACCCGTACATGAGTGGTTTGCATGTAATATTAATGTTTTGGGTGTTAGATATGTAAATAGCATGAAATAAAGTGGTATGTATGTAAATTTCCCTAAAAAAAATTATACTAAAAAGCTGTTGTTTACAACAGCTTTAAAAATCTGCTTTCTCAACCGCAGCTTTGGAAATGAGTAAGAAAATTGCCCCAAATGATCATTGGACAAGCTTTCTACCATGTTTTTAGTACAAATTTTTTTGAAAGCAACAAAAAGAAGAGCGCTACAAAATAAAATTTTCGTTTAATTTATTCATAATTTACTTAGTACTTTTATCTTACTTATACATTTAGCATTACATTTATTATCTACCAATAGTTTAATCAAAATAGTATTTTTTCAGTATCTTACACCCACATCATTAAATAAGTTGAGAGTAATTGATATGAAGCATGAGATTTTTTACGTGTGAGATCCAAGAAAGAGAAATTGCTTGAGGCCTAGTCAAGTTAAAATGATTCTACTATTATGAGTTATAGGTTTCAAATATAGTAGGCATGAGCTGTAAAAGTTAAACTTCATGATGTTACTAGGAGTTTTGAGGCATTTGATATGAATTAAGAGATCATTGGTAGTCTTTTTAGTCATTCTCTTCCTTGGAGAGGAGACCAACAACGAAGAAGAAGGACATCAACCTTGATACAAATTGTAGGCATCAATGTTATTAATGGTAGAAATTTATCTTGGTAGCAGCCTAAGACATTAAGTGTTGGTGTTGACAACAAAGATTACCTATGTTGGCAATGGTGAACATTAGTTTTGGTGACGACTACAAGCATCACCTTTAGCGGGAATGGTGAGCATTGGACTTAGTAGTGATGGTAGGGTCTAGGCTTATTAATGATGTTGACATCAACCATATTAGTGAAGTTAAGTGTTATTTTAATTGGTGATAATGAGAGTCATAATTAATGTCTACAACGAGTGCCATCATTGTGGTTGACAATAGACATCAACCTTCTGGTGAGGTTGAACATCGATGTTGGTGTCAAAGAAATGCATCGACCTTGTTAGCAATAATGAGCACCGACATTAGCTTTGATGACCAAACACAAATGTTGGTGTATCAATGTTTGGTGTTAGAAGACATAGTCGATGATTAACTCATCAAAACTATTAAAGTTGGATCAATTTGTAGATTTTTGAGTAGGGAAGTTCTAGTCATATGGAATACAGTAAAAATATCTAGAATTTATCGGTAAAGAAAGGGAGTTCTTCCACGTGGAGAATCTTGTGTAATGGTACAGCCTATCTTCGGAATATTATAAGTTGGAGAGTTTCTAATAAAAATTCCATTAATTGTTTGCATGATACCTGGGTATTGGATAAAAAAAATTCTAAATGGCATACATTGTAGCTGATTTATAAAATATAAATTATGATCTTGGTTACTTTATTACAAATGGAATTTGGAATGAAAAATGACTTCAAATGTTTTTAGCAAGTATCTGGTGGAGCTTATCTTACAAGTTATGATTTATGTATAATGGGATGGATCAAATTGAATTGAAGTTGAAAGCTGCGGGTAAAACTATTGCAACAATGTCTCAGGAAGCTGCTATGGATTACGGTTCTGACATGGAATTAAGGAAATGGATAAAAAAAATCAAGTTGAGACCCCGTGTAGAGTTGTTTTGGTGGAGACTGTATAATGACGCTATTCCATCCAACTCCTTGATGTATAGAAGAATGCTTAAATATTATGGATGCCCGAGAGGTTGTGAAGAGGCGGAAGACAACAATCATATTGCTGGAAAGTTTGGGAAACTAAAGAATATAATTGCTCTTTTAAACAAATGGGGATTCCAAGTCCCAGTATTCTCAAATTTCGTGGAATGTACAACAGAATTACGAAGACTAGGAGGTACCAACTCATTCATTGCTAATATTATTGTACTGCGCTTTTTTTCATTTGGAAGAGTAGAAACAAATTGATTCATGGAGAAAGGGAAGATACTTATGTGTTTATTGCGGCCAGCATGATATCAATGGCTTCAGTTCTTCCAATTATTAATATTTATTAGGACAACTGGGATGTCAACCAGCATAAGCTGTTTTCTTCTTAGCATCCTCCTCCACCCGGATGGATAAAGATTAACATTGATGCTTCTTTAAGCAACAATAATATGGCAGGTATTGGCGGAGTTTTCAGAGATAATAAAGGCATGTTTGCTTTTGGTGTTAACTATTTGCATTGGGATATAGCACAGTTGGAACTATTGGCAGTTTGTACATTGAAAAATGTCATTCAGGGATGGATGTTGGAAGCACAGGGTGTCATTATAGAAGGGGATAATATCAATATTATCATACTTCTTCAACAGTCCTTGAAAAAATTGAAGAATAAAGAAAGGATTGAAGAGAATTTGGCATTCATTCAAATTTTTCTAGAAGATGTTGTAATAAATTAGCAGATTGTTGTGCTAATTTTTCTTTGGTTAAAAGTTCTATTTGGAATGAACTTAGTGAAGTAGATATTCCTCCTTTCTTGTTTATTTTGAAGGAAGAGTGATGCTTTAGATTTGTTTTGAGTAGTTTGTAATAATTTCTTATTTTAATGCAAAGGTGCATTTTCTTAAAAAAAAAATCACTGGGTGATAGTTTAGGTTTTATTTTCCACTCTTTGGTTTTATCTTTTATTTTATAGTCTATTGTCAGCTATATATATATAGTTCAATGAATAGTAATATAATTATATTTTTTTCTTATATTGAATCATGTGAGGTTTGGTTGATGTTTAGAAAAAAAAAATTGTGCAATTCTTTCCATTAAAATTCTTGAGTGCGACTTGTGAATCATTCAAAGAGCAAAATCCAAATGCCTTTCCTAACAGAGAAGATAATCTTCGCTTTTCTATGGGAAATTAAACGGCAAGAAGAATTACAATAAAATCAGAGAAATTAACACCTCGGAGGGAACCTTCTCCACCTTCGCTAACATTGCTTCTGCTATAAAATCCCATTTCAAGGATATTCTCAATTTTAACATCCCTACCCGCCAAGCCTTTAACACAAAGAAGAAGCCTTTTCACCAAAGTCAAGGCTTGAATGATAGCTCACTTTATGAATTTTCCACTACCTCACTTTCTTCCCAAGAAGCACTCCAATTCATCTGCATGCAATATATTTCCAATCTTTCAAATTTTGTTAATTTGCTCTTTAAGGATGAGCAAAACTTGTGTTTAAAGTACTCTCATGAAATGTATTATTGAGAATTTGGGAGATCAAGCAAGTAGATAATTGTTCTGCTTGACTACTATTTATGCCTCTAATAATACACTATGAGATAACACACCCTAAAAACTCTTAATCAAATTGCCTCTACTACTCATCTCCTTTGATAATTCTAGGATATTTTAAACTCTGTAGATATTGTTATGAGGAATATGATGGCAACATGATCCTTAATAACAAATTCTACGATCTTAACTCTATGATCTTTGACTTTGTTCTTAAAGACTTGTCTTCAGTGGGGCTTTCCTTCACCTAGTTCAATAATATAATTAATAGCCCATCCGTAACAAACTAGATAATTTTTAGTCAATCATGCTTGCCATGAGCTTTGTCCTAGTTCTTTAATAAGATTGAGAATCATAAGTGCTCTGATCACCTTCCCTTTATTCTCTACACTTCCTAACCCGTCAATCATAAATTTCTTTTCAAAAACTAATGAACCACCTTTTTTGAATACTCTGAAATTTTGAGGGAAGCTTAGTCATATTACATAGAAGGTGAACCGATTTACCGATTTATATTATCTACCAAAAGCTAAAGTATCTTAAAGGCCTCCTCTAAAGTCAAGTTTAACAATTCATAAGTGCTCTGATCACCTTCCCCTTCTTCCAACTATCTTTCTAACAACATTAAAGATTTAGAAGTTTAACATTTATCTACTCCCCATCTCCTTGACCTCAAATCACAAGATCCTATTTTCAATGCTAAGGCTGAAATGATTAGTGGAAGACTTAGAACCTTTTACTCATCTTAGGCCTATTGGATCATTCAAAGCTAAATAACTTTCTCATAAATAATACAATCTCCACAATCTCTATGTGAAATTAGTAGGAAGGAAGAATTACAAAGACATCAAAGAAATCAACACTTTGCTCCTTAGCTAACATTGCTTCTACCACAAAATCTCATTTCAATGAGATTTTCAATTTTAACAAAAAAAAAAAAACTCATTACAAGTTGGACAGCTCCCATCACAAATAGATGAGATTAAAATGGTTTTCTCCGCTCCTAAATGCTGTGCACCAGTTTACTTTTGAAATTTATGTTAAACTATGGTATACATTTGGCAATCAAATGTGTTGTGCAGTTCATCATTTCTTCTCTTAAAAAACCCTCTCTACAAATATCAAAGCTATGGGAATTCCATTCCTCCCCAAGAATTTGCATGAATATAATTCCTCCAACTTTAAATCAATATCTCTCTCCAACATATTTTATAAATCACTACAAAAATTCTTACGAACTAGAAGAAATTGCTCAAGCCTTATATTATTCATCCCAGCAAAAAAAATTTCCTTCAGCAAAGAATTTCTTCTGGCAATATTATCTTCGCAAATGAAATACTATGATCTCATTCATGATAGATATTTTTTTTTTTTTTGGGTGCCAAATTATAAATCACAATGGCTATGGATACTGTCAATAGAGAATTTGTTCTTCACAAGATAAGCCAAAAATATTTCCCACCATTTTTATTGACAAGATTGGTGGACAATTGCTGACATATACTAATTGTAAGGCAAGAATGCTGCAACATCAACGTTAAACTGAGATATAGCTTCTGCTGAAACCCCGACAATATAAAACAGAACAAGCTCAAATATCAAAGCAACCCAAACAAACAAGCACAAAAAATATATAAAATTAGGTTTTTTTCAAAAAATGCATGAACAAACTCACATGTATTTACAGAATAGAATAAACATACATCAACATGTGAAATTGATTAAAAATAAAGTCAGTTTCGCTATAACCTCTGAATCCTAACAATTAGTTTACAAGATGAGGACTACGGCTATTGAATGGAAGCACACAAGAATAAGTAACGTACTTGACGCTATCAAGAAGAATCACTACAAATATACGTTGAAGTGATTTGTTGTGTGATTTCATCCCATCCACATCACCGTCACTGGCTTCTTTAGGATCAATCAAGACAGAAACAACCATGGGAGGCCCAGTGGCATTTCTCTGAAAGCTACTGCCTTCAGGCCTTTTCCCTATGTGTTCCGTATGGTTGAGTGTAGATCCAGGAAGTGGAATAGCTTGAGGATACAGAACCCTTCGGTTCTTTATCACTGATTGCCGTGGAGATGATGAAGTGTTGCTGATATTTGAATTGGCAATTGCAGTATCTGTTGTATTAACCATTGAAGAAGTAATGACCGCACTCGAACTAGAAGATGATGGGGAAATTTGAAACTGGAATACTTCAGTGCATGTGGAAGAACTGAATATTGGACCTGATAAATAAAAAAATTATCATGAAAATGGACGGATTCATGATTTGAAAGAAGATTGTAATTAAAACAGACTCATGAGATTGAACGTTGACACCACTAATTGATTAAAACTGTTATGGTGAGACTACTGAATTTCTTTTCAACTGAGTTATGCACAGTTAGCATAAAATATACAAATTTTATTTGTTATTGAACTCTAAACATATGAGTTTACTAGTATAACACCAAAATATTTAAGATATTATGCCAACCTTACCGATAACTTACTGCTAAGATGTCATTAAATCGATCTCATTACCACTTAATCGTCAACAAGTCTTCGATGTGTTAACGTTGACTTGGACTTGGGCATGAGCTCATGGACCTTCACGAGCTGATTTTTCGGACCCGGCCAATTAATGGATTTGGGTAGAGATTTTGGCTTATAGCTTATGGGGCTAAGCTTGATCTTTGAGGATGTTATAACTCCTAGGCTTACATAATTAAGGCAATTCAAATATTTCTTAAAAAAAATAGAACACATAAACTTTTGTAAGAACAAATAGCTAAGTGGGTGGTATGCCAATAATAATAAGATTGGAATGGATATCAATGAATTCACACCAATAAACATCCTTAAATTGAAATAAATGGCACTTTCTATCTTGTATGGGTTCGTAAAAGCCAAAATATGGGAGAAAGCTAATAATAACAAATACAAGTCATCGGAGGTTGTGGAATGTGTCGCAATGGCCTTGCATGCTCTTCCGATAAACACGCTGATGTTTGAACCCTAAAGGTAGCTATTAGTCTGGCCTATTTCCTAGTAAAAATGTAAGAATACGAGAAATGCATCTAATTGTTGAAATAGATGCTTGAAAAAATTTAGTAGCTGAACATTAACAAACAAATGTTACAGCAAATAAGTCTCCCTCAGACCAAATTTTGGTAACTAAAAGTAGATTGCTAGCCTGATCTCCTCCTATTTATCACAAAGCTCAACTAGTGGAGCAATTTTCATCCAAATTGGGCAACTATAGCTTGTAGTAGGTGGCCCTACCAATCAAAGTTAATGCTGCCAACACATGCTAGGCCATCACAACTAGCCGACCCATTAATGTCCATCCAAAAGAGTATGTGTCTGATTTGATAGGGCTATAGGGTTGAGCTGGTGGTTAAAGCTACTTGACTCTTCATTTTCTCCTCCACATATACGGTTCCTAGCACCTTTGTAAAAGCAGCAAAGACAAGAACCAGTTCAATATCAGGGATCAAGTATCGAGGTGTATAGAAGAGAAGTTTGCGAAGATATGATATGGCTTGGGAAAAAAAACGTTTGAGAAAGACTTGTCTATGATGCATATGAATGCTTCATAGAATAAAATGGCGGTGGTTTTTTTTTTTTTTCTTTTCTTTAAAGGATAGTGGGTAAAAATATTGCTTATAAAAATTACTAAGGGCCTATTAGAGACAGCTGCAACTTTTTTTGAAGTTAATTGTAAAGCTATTGTAAAAAATTTGAGGTTCAAAAAGAAAAATCACCATCACTAGATATCTTTTGATGTCTTTCATCATACAAGTCGCCAAAAAGAAATAGATATTTTTCTTAATGGGATAATTTCAGTCATCCCAAATTAATTTTTGGCTAAATAATAATTTTTCTAATTTTATTGCAGTCCCAAGTTCCAAAACCTTGCTAAAGAGGTTATCTGATATGAATAATCATGTAACCAAGAAATCCTCATAACATAATAGTTCATTTTTCCCTCAAAAGATTTAACAGTTCAGAATTAACATAAATTAAAAAAACTAGATCAAGGAAAATAAAATAAAATAAAATCTCGACAATCAACATTTTTGTATGAGGTTAGGCTGATGAAATTTTAAATTTAATATGCACTCTCCCCATTTACCTAGAGAACTCCTTAAGATACTAGGGTAGATGGAATGTTAAATTTTTTCAGCATTTGATGATGGCGGCTTTTGCATATTTCCATTGAGTATCATTTGGCACAAAAAAGCTTCTAAGAATGAGGTTAAACATCAACCGTGGGAAGACAGGCCTTGATGTAAAATTGCTCAATTCAGCCATATCCAAAGAGTAACATAAATCACAGAATAAAGAATGACAGGTCAAAGGACACCTTATACCAGGAAATAAATCAAACTCCATCGAGATAACAGTCAGTCCATGCAAAATTGCATATCCTAATTTCTAGAGAAAATATAAGGTATGTTCCTATCTAACTTCGTTTACATGATAGTTCCATTGACAATGTTAGGATATTCAACCATAAGTATCTTGCAAAAAGCAGTGGAAAAAAATTAGGAATAATAAATGACAAAATTAGGCCAAATGCATAAAAACAAGAACAATAGAGAATTGAAAACCAAGTAAGCAAAACCACTATTGTTACCTGCCATTCCTTCCCGAAACCATTGTTGAAGAAATCCATCCTGTGAGGTGTCTATAACTGCATCTTCAGAATCAGAAGAAAGTGATCGTTGGTGTTCAGCTGAGCTACCATAAGACTTGGTACGTCCACTAATATCCCTAGTTGATAAAGCCATTCTAGAATCCAAATTGGCAATTACCAGGCTTGTCTCAATACCTTCATTCCCAGAAGGCTTCTTACGCTGATCTCTGGACTTTACCTCTGCCACACCTTTCTCAGTAGCAAGAACAGAATTGATTATCAAATTCCCATTGATCTCCACATGCTTTCCATTTCTAGGGACATACAGCAAAGCAGGGAGACTCTCACTAGAATTCTGGGTAATCATTAGGCTATTGGAAGGCCATGATTTGTCTTCTGGTCCCACCTTTCCATTCTGAAAACTCGTATCAACTCCTACTTTACTAGACTGTCCATCATTGAAGCCGAATTGTTCAGAACCAGTCAAGCTCCTTGTACGGCCACTAACACTCAAAACCATACCATTAGGACTACCCAACAAACCATTTTTAATTGGAGCTGCTCCAGAATTTCTGCTTTCTTCCCTTCTATGATCAACTCTACCTATCAGACCTCCAACTATCAAAGCAAAAAAGAAAAATCCTAAAAATGTGATGCTTGCCACCTTCCTTATTTTGCTTTCACGCTTCTTCTCAGTTTTCTTAGCCGTTTGGGAGGCTGCAGCTTGCTGCGACTTTAATTTGGGTATAGGAACCAATGGAACCGGAGAAACCTGCTGCCTAAACGCAAACGCAGGATAAGGAACCCAAGGGAAATTCATGGGGACAACAGAAGGTGGCGGGCAAACGCCCGGCGAAAAGCCACTACTACCACTAACACCCAACTGTTGCTTTAGACTAGCATTCTCCGCCATAACAAACGAGATCTTGCTGTTTAATTCAGCAATCGTAGAGTTCATGGATCGGACCTTCTCCTCCAGCTCCTCCACATACTCCTTCTTCCGCTGCCTAGAAAGCTGAGCGCTCTCCCGGTTCCTCATTAATCTCGCCTTCTTCATCTCATCTTCCTTGCTCGCAGCGTTGAAAACACAAGAACTAAAATCCTCAGACCGCCGGAACTTGCTGCTTCTAGGGTTGATGTTAGACTTAACGCATTCCTCCTCCCGCTTCTTCATCATCTTCGTCACCCTCCCGTTCTTCTCGTCCTCCTGCTTGAAATCCGCGCCAGATTCTGTGGAACAGTTGGCGGAGTGGCCAGATTCAGGGGAACTGACGTTGATGATGCTGCCAGAGGTAGCAGGGGAGGGGGACGAAGTCAAAACGCCGAATTGTGGCGGCGATCTGTCATTCGATGTATCAGAGGGAAGAGATAGAGCGTTAGTGTCCTCCGGGAGGAGAAGATCGTCCATGGATATATCCCAATCGATGCCATCGATATCAAAATCAAGGTCAATTTCAGATGAAAGGCCGCCGCTGGGGAGGAACAGGTCGTCGGGGAAGAGATGGGGATCGAGAAAGTTAGGGTCAGAACAAAGGTCGATTGGCGGTGAGAAAGAATCGGCGGCGGCTAGCTCCGCCATGACATAGGGTTTCGACTCGCTGATTACGGTATTAAAACGCGATTCTCCGGTGACCGTCCGTTTAATAGAAGAGCGAGGACGGCAACGAGAACGTTTGAGAAGCTCCGCGTGGACAATATAAAACTGGAGCCGGAGATCTCGGTTACTGTTGTAAAAAAAAAAGAGAATACTTTTTTTCCTCTCAAAATTGATTTTCCATCAAAACATACAATTTTATTTTATATTATTTATATATCTCATAATTAAAATTTTAATATTTCATAACTATCACACATAAACTAAATATGGATGCAAGAAATAAAATAATAAAATTTATTAGATGATATAAGTGATAGGAATGAAAGATTGGAATGATATATTTGATATTAAAATTATATATGAATGATAGATATGAAATATTAAAATATTTTGTATTAGATATGTAAATAGCATAAATAAAATGGTATATATATAAGTCCTATTTTACTTTTTATAAATAAAATGAAATTCTCACGAAACAGATCGCAACTCTCTTACATTTGAGAAATTACTTCAATCAAAACAGGTCATATCACCGGCACATTATGTATAATTCGTACACAGATTGTGTATAAATTAAAAGCAGTTTATGTACAGGTTTTCTTTTTTTTTTTTGAATATTGCAAATTTGCATTAAAGGAAACAATATTGCAAATTTGCATTAAAGGAAACAAAGAAAACTACTTTCAATTGATAAAATGGTAGCCATCCTTCTTGACCAAATTCATCAAGTTGGACGGAATACTACCAAAAGAAGAGCTATCAAAGAAAAAATCATCATCTAATGCCAAAGTAGCACAAAAATCAGGTACTTTGTTACAATTCCTATTCACATGATGAAAAACAACTTTATTGAAATCATTAATAAAGTAAAGCTTATTACCTAAGCTCTCCTCTAGCTGCCAGTTGGTCTTCTTCATAGATTGTTGAATGTGATTAATCACATTGAATTTGTCACTTTCAATTATGATTCCAACACATTCAAGCATCCAACCTTGAATGAAATCCCATAGAACAAAAACAGATTCCAATTCTAGTTGACCAATGTCCCAATGCAAAGAATTCCTTCCAAAAGCTAGGAGCACTCTGCCTTTACAATCTCTAAAGATGCCTCCTATACCAGCCCGGTAATTCGAAAGCAATGAAGAATCAATATTAACCTTGATCCAATCTAGTGGTGGAGGGTGCTAAGAATTCAAATACTCCCAAGAGAGGTTAGCACCCCAGCTATCTAGAAAAGGATGAAGGTTAGATGAGGCTAAAGAAATCACATTTGCAGCAGTCATCGAAGTAGACATTGCAGGTTTCCCATGCTTGATCATATTACAGTTTTTCCAATTACAGAAAACCGTGGTGCAATAGAGTCTAACCATTCCTGGGTTGCATCTAGACTACCGTCTAAGTTCCACCAAACATTCTTCAAGAGATTGAAAAATACTGATAGCAAATCCCCACTCTCTGATTTTGGAAATAATATCAGTGATACACTTGCATTGAACCACAATGTGTTCATAATTCTCAGCCATACAACAGCCTCTAAGACACAAGTCACTAGTAGCCAATCTTCTGAATTTAAGAAAAGAGTTAGTTGGAATTGTAAACTTCCTTAGCCTCCACCAGAACAATTCTACCCTGACATTAAGTTTAATCTTCTTGAGCCAATTCCCAAAACCATCATCAACATCATTATATCTCTTGTTCATTACAGCTTCAAAAGCTAACGCTAAAACAGAGCAACCCGTCAGCTTCTTAACAGGTTCCAGCATATCCCTTCCACCTTCCCTATCCACTTTTACTTGCTTGATTATCCAAGCCAAGTCCTTATGAAAAAAAAATCTCAACTTCATCTCATCCCAACTTCCTTCATCAGTTAAAAGCTGTCGAACTTTCATACCTTCTAAATCCACCCAATTGATAAAAGTAGGCCATGAGTTGAAGCTTCTGTCTAGGACCCATATGTCACCGAGAACATCAACATCCTTGCCATTGCACACTCTCCATTTAACAACTTCCTTAAGATACTTCTCTCCCTCAACCATAATTCTCCAAGCAACAGAAGAATTATTCCTACAAACTCCATCCAAAATGTTATCAGAATATCTGGCTTTGAGAGATCGGTGTAACAGGGAATCTGGATTTTGAATGTAGTTCAAAGCAAGTCTAGCTTTCAATGTACCACTCTTAATGATACAAGATTGTAAACCAAGACCACCAGCACATCTAGGCTTACACAATTCATCCCAAGCAACATAATGTAATCCTCTTTCCTTATTAGATTTGTACCAAACAAAATTCCTACACAACTTTTCAATATCTTACAGAACTTTTTTAGGAACCATCGAATGCGTGATGACAAAATTTGGCAACGTTAATAACAAAGATTTTAATAACATAATTCCTCCACCCAAGGAAATATTTCTTCTTCCCCAAATATTTAATTTCTCCATAACCTGTGCCAAAAGGTCTTGAAAGTCAGCTGCCTTAAGTATATTAACAGACATTTTAATACCTAAGTATTTCCAATCATTAATAGATTTAAAACCGAGAATACTGATAAGTTTCTTCCTTCTGGTTCTACCAACGGCTTTACCAAATAGAATTTGAGACTTGTTAAAATTCACCTTCAAACCTGTCCATTTACAAAAATCCTCAATGATTCTCATCATATACCTAGCCAGCCCACATGTTGCTTGAGAGAAGATGAGAACGTCATCGACATAAAGTAAATGAGTTATTTGAGGTCCCTTAGAAGCCACTTGAATACCCAAACTATACCCCCTATGTAATAAAGAATTAGATAGGAGTTGAGCACACATAATGAACAAATAAGGTGACAATGGACACCCTTGACGGAATCCACTACATGCATCAATCCACCTAAGCTTCTTCCCATTCATGATAATAGAAAACCTCACATTCAACACACATTCCATAATATATCCAGAAAAACCAGAAGGGAATCCATACCATATAAGAATTTGCTGCAAAGTACTTCATCCCATGTTGTCATAGGCCTGTTCCATATCGAGCTTAACAGCCATTATTCCTTTCTTATTCCTTGATGTTTTGAACTTATGAAAAATTTCTTGGGCAAGGATACAATGCTCAGACATCGATCTCCCTGGAATGAAAGCAAGCTGCTCTTCTGAGATCATCTTACACATAAGATTCTTTAGTCTATTCACTAGCATAGAGACAACTATCTTGTAGGTAGTTTGACAAAGGCTAATGGGACGGAAATTTGAAGAAACAGTTAGATTATTAACCTTGGGGATCAACACAATCAATGTGTCTTTCCAATTCTTATGCATGATGCCAGTGCTAAAAAACTTTTTAATTGCAAGCCAAGTTGTCTCTCCAACAATGTTCCAATAGCTCTTAAAGAAAGAAGAGGTGACACCGTCAGACCCTGGAAATTTGTTGTTACCCTGCTGGAAAACAGCTACCCTGCAATCTTCCATGACAAATTCCATGTTCAACATCTGCCTATCCAACTCGCTGAGCCTCTGTGAACCTTCAATCTCTGGCCATTCCTTCAGCATACATCTCCTTTGTTTCCACTTATCTTAAAAAAAAATGCAGAAAAATATGCTCAATCTGCTCTTCCTCATACACAATCCGGTTGTCATCACTCCTAATATGCTTAATCAAGTTTGCACTCCTCTTAGCAGAAGCAAAATTATGAAAGAAAGATGAATTCACATCTCCTTCCTCAATCCACCTTGTCTTGGCCCTTTTGTTCCTCCAAGTTGCAAGCCTTTTCAAAGTAACATTCAATTCATGAACCTTGTGCCTAAGAAGACACAATTCATCAACCGACAAACTTCCATCAGACATTTCTTTGGTTTGCAAATCAAGAATATCCTTCTTTAACTCATCTCTAAGCATGCACAGATCAATGCATTTATTCCTATTCCAAAAGAATAAGGCCTTCAAAGTCCTTCTAATCTTTCTATGAAGAATTTCCACCTCATCCCCAAAGTCTTTTTTCAACCAAGATTTGTGAACTATGCCTCTTGCAGCTGGATAAGATCTCAAGGTATCCTCAAATCTGAAATGCTTCTCCTTAGTAGAATGCCAAGCTTCCATCCTATATACAATCGGACAATGATCCGACGCCACACGAGCTAAATGTCTAGCTCTACCAGCAGGAACCAATTGTAAAGAAGCTTAATTTATCAAACATCTGTCAAGCCTCTCCCAAATTCTCGAGGAACCATCTTTATTATTACACCAAGTATAGCTTGGTCCAATAAAACCTGCATCATAAAAATCAGCATTAGCCATAAAATTCTTCATCTCTCTAGGTCCCCTAGAGAAGATGAATCTCTTTCCACCCTTCTTCTCTTCCTTCTTAATGATACAATTAAAATCTCCCCCAATTAAAGAAGGCCCTGAGCTTATCATGTTCTTCTCAAGAATACTCCAAAGATCCCTTCTCTCCACACAGCATATACTCCCATAAACGGTTGCCACTTTCCACTCACCCATTGAAGGAGTGGAAAGAACTCCTATAACAGCTTGAGACGAACTTTCTTAAACAACAAAAGAAACTTTATTTTTGTTCCAAATATTCAAAATACCTCGAGATAGTCCCACTGCAGGGTGATGAAAAAAATCCCAATCTCTCCCAATAAGGTAATCCACATCATTTCTGTCAATGTTACATAGCTTCGTTTCCATAATCCCAATAAACACCACCTTATGATCCCGCACAACTTCCTTCAAATACAGCGAAGCCTCTCTCTTTCTGGCTCCCCTGCAGTTCCAGAACACTAAAGCCGACATTAATCAACAAGAGGGGAACCGTCCCCGCCAGTAGAATTCCCCTTCCCATCCCTTCTCTTCTTCCTATGCTCGGGCTCAACCAGACCCAAAGATCATAGCTCCTTAGCCAACTTGATCTTAACCAAATTACATTTGGATACTTCATTAGATAACTGCTCATTCACATTACCATCTAGCAGCCTTGAATCAACAGAATTACCATCAAAGGGTTTATCTGTCACTTCTCCCTCCTCAATCTCATCATCCTCATTCAAAAGAATTTGAAATTTATTTTTCACTTCAACATTAACATTTTTATCTTTAACATTGTTATCCACAACAGATCCCTCAGCCATTTATACATCTTCCTGACCTCTATCAGAAGTTGCTTCCACTTTCTCTTGATGCTTAGCCATCACTACCTTGCTGTCTACTATATTCTCCATTCTAGTGGATCTACCTGCTTTACTAACTGTTATTTCTATACATTCTGTTCTTGAAACGGACATGAATCCACGGACCATACTCTGGTTCAGAAATCTTCTCCACTGCGGGAATACTAACATTATCCTGCTTGTTGTTCACCTTTGCAGCCACGACCATTTTACTCTCAGGACATAAAGCCTTATCATGTCCCACCTTCCCGTAGTTAAAACAGAGCATATCAATCTTCTCATATTCAACTTGCTGAAAAAATCTTCCAACAATGCCATCGATCCAAACACCCTTGTGAAGGCTGTTTTCGAGATTCAATCTTACACAGACCCGGGCAAACTCACGTTTACCCCATATAAAGGAGTTTCCATCCACATACATAGGAACTCCGATTCTGGATGCAATACGGGCGATATTTTCTTCATCCCAATAGTAGAAAGGCAAATAGGGGAGACGCATCCAAACAGGAGCAGTAATCCCCTGGAAGGAATTGGGATTGAAAGATGTAGTCCATTTATCCATTCCCACAATGTAACCACCAACATACCATGGACCCCCATTGAAAACTTCATCCATGGCCTCTTCGCTTTTGAAAGAGCAAAGAATCCAGTTCATGCCCAGCGACGTCATGTGAAATTTACCAAATCTGTCCCACTGTCTTCTCAATTCCACACAGCACATAGGAAATAAAAATCTTATTTCCCAAAACTTTAACAATCAGTGAAAACTTAAGAACATTGGAATTCATAATCTACTTTTCCGCATTTAGCTGGACTGCAATTCCATCATCCGACATTTCAACTGAGTCATTATTAAATGAAAGCCTGATATGCTGTGGTTTCTTCCAAGCTTCCACAAATTCATCCTTCGGATTTCCATTTTCACCAATTCCTTCCTTATTACTAAGTTCCAAGACATAATCAACATCAATGGGAACTTCTTGATCCATCTTTTCTACATCAGATATTAAATTCCGACCCAATGCAACCTTCTTGTTGCACAAAGACTTATTAACTTTCAAAATCAACCTCGACGACGAAGACGTCTCCAGATTCAAATTCTCAGAAGCCAAATGCGGTCTAGAATTTACAACGATTCCACCATTATCACACTCAATTAAAGGTTTCTTACCTTTACCTTCAGGATTCGGATCTTGATGAGGCAAAGATTGAAAACCCTCCTTAATCACAACACCCTTATTCTCCACACGATCAGAACCAAACGATCGTCCAGACACCATAGCAAAGTCGGAAGAAGGCCAGAAAACCTCCCTCCGATCTACGATCTTCAAACCCGCCACCAGAAAGTGCCCGCAAAAAATTCAAACAGACGCTCTTTCTCTCTCTAGAAAATCGCTGGAGCTTCTCTCTCTAGAAAAATGCTCTTATTAAAATTGTCTAGAATTTCTGTACAGGTTGACATGGCTTATTCTAACCGGAGTCTAGATGTCGTCCGAACTCAGCACATAATAATTTCTCCATCCTTTCACCTTCTAAATTTCCGACCCTGCAAATACTTGTTCTTATAGTGCAAAGTTTTTTTTATTGCAATCTCTCTTATTAGTCCATAAGGGTAGAGAATGTCATATGTTTAGCTTTTTTTGTTGTTGTTGAAATTGAAGGTCACATCAAGCTTTCATTAATTAAATAAGAAATTTACAAAATTAAAGTCAATAACATAACTCTGAAATACAAAAGAAATAGTCCAAGAGTACGTGATATAAGAAACATATGCAACCAAGAAATCCTAATTGATATTTAAACCAATCATTAACAAACCAAAAAAACCCAAAGTAGCTAAAATATAATCCAGCCAAGTAAAACACCACTTCCAACTAGAAAAAAATGGAATCCAAATATATGCAAAAACTTCTTTCAATCAAATGAAAAGCTGCAGCCACCATAACAATTCCAGAAATAATGCAGTTGATAAGAAGTGTTAGGGAATGCCACAACCGAACCTCAGCTGAAAAAAAAAAAAGATATCATAATTAGTAATATAAAACTTTCATATATTTATGTAAATCAAGAATAAGACATCATTTCTTACTTTCTTTTTAATGGAAAATTTGATCTTCTCCATTATAA